CATATGAATCACATAAGGTGGTATTTATAGAAATTTTCGAATCTGAGCATTTACTAGGAAATTGCTAGGAAATGTAGGTACAAAACACGTTTTTGATTTAAATTCGATATTTTCTATCCAGTTCCTCTTAATTTCGTAGTAACAAAACCTTTTCCTCCTAATTTCATAGTAAAGACTTACTATGACTTTACGAGGAAAAGTGGTACTACGAGTTTACGAGGAAATGTACTTTTTCCTCGTAAGGTCCTCGTAAAATTACTACGGTCTTACGAGGAATCATGTTTCTCGTAATTTTACAAGGATCTTACGAGGAAATTTGATTTCCTTGTAAAACCGAAGTAAGTGCCTAGTAAGTTTACGAGGAATTATTTTCCTAGTAAAATTTCCTAGTAAACTCTTAGTTTTCTTGTAGTGTATGATGAACATTAAGAAGAGTGGCAGAAGAAGAGTGGCAGAAGAAGAATGAGCTAAACATTAAGGTCCATTGATCCATTTGGTTTAAGTAGAACAACTAAACGTGAAGGATCATTCTAAATTTATACTTTAAACAATATAATCAAATACAATTTAGGTTAATTAACAGGATCAGTCAGATTACTTTCAAGAAATCTGGTATTGAACAATGGAAAATATGTGTTGAAGATGTATTTTAGAAGAATGTTCATTGCTATTTAGGCGTTTGTGGTAATTAGGCTTGCAAATAGTTTCAATAATTTAAATTAGTGGTTCCAAAAGATATAAACGATGGAGGAAGATAAAGACTGTCATAACTGAGTTAATTAGAGTCTAACTTTTATGGAAATAGTAAATCTTCTATAAAGTTTTACTCTTTCATTAGTTATTGTGTTCGTACTTTCAAATAATGCAAAAAGAACAATACTTGGGTTCACCCCCGAGATGAATGGTTAAATTCACCTCACTTCTTATATCCAATAGAATTGCCTTGTCAGATTATTTAAAAAGGGAAATATATTAAATTTAAAAAAAAAAACAGTTGGAAAAATTATTGTTTGAAAAACTCTAACCCTCTAAACCATAAACTATAAACCATAAACAGTTAGAATTTAGGGTTTAGAATAAAAGGTTTAGAGTTTACGTCTTAGAGTTTAGGTTTTAGAATTTGGGGTTTAGAATTTGGAGTTTATGGTTTAGGGAGTTAGAGTTTTTCATACAGTAATTTTTCTAATTGTTTTTTTTTAATTTAATATATTTCTTTTTTTTAAATAATCTGACAAGGCAATTTGATTGGCTATAAGAGGTGAAGTGAATTTAACCATTCACTTCGGGGGTGAACCCAAGTATAGTTCACACAATTATAAATGGGGTGCATGCATGTTACGAATATTGTGTTTCAGTTTCTGTTTTTTTTTTTTTTTTTTTGACATCATACCCCTGATCTATTACTCAAAGAACTTGAGATGGTCTGGGAATCCAGACCGGAATAGAACAACCAATGTACACAAGTTTACGATAGAAATACCTAGCTGTCTTAGCTAAAGAATCAGATACACCATTCTGCAACCTAGGAACATAAATGATCTTGAATTCCGGGAAGCAGATCTTCAGAGTCTCTAGCTTTTCCAGTTTTGTTGAGAAGTTAGGCCATGCCTGAGGATTCTTGAGCATCTCAATCATCTCCTTACAATCAGTTCCAAAGCTCTGACATGGCGAATGTTGAAGCATATTCTCCATTTCCCACCGCAGTGCTTCCAATTCTGAATGCAACGCCGATTCCGCTCGATCAAAATTGCGCAGCCCCATTAATTCACTGTTTCCGAAATTGTCATTCAACACCCATCCACAGCCACTGAAAATATTTGTAGAGATCCAAGAACCATCTACCATGCATATATTATCCAAACTTAAGGTCTGGTCTACCTCTGATCCGTTCCGGATAGACACTGGAATTTCCTGCTCATTTGCTTTAAACCATGCTTGGCATTCGCTTTCTGCATAACGTGCAACTTCCAATGGATCCCTATCAATACCTCTGAATAGCTTGTCATTCCTAGCCTTCCAAATGTACCAGATTAGCCAAGGATAGGGATCCCTGTCCAATTCTGGTTCCATTATCGCATTCTTCCTCTAGAACAAATAATCTATATTCGCGTACGTGCTTTGTATTGGGAACAAAGCGGGATTGGTAGGCGTAGATGATAGTGGCCAAACTTGTAAAGCAGGTGGACACTCAAATATTGCATGGGTGATCGTCTCCTCAGGTACCCCACAACGAGGACAATGGTTGTCACATCTCATATGTCTATAGTTTAAGATGCTCGTAACAGGTACATGTCTTGTTATCAACTGCCACATAAGATGACAAATCTTTTGAGGGGCTCTAACCTTCCAAGCATGTGTTTGGAGTTTAGTGATACTAGGCTCACATACTTCTGCTTCCTCTTCCTTCCTCAAGATATTCCGTGCTACCCAATAACCAGATTTGACTGTATACTGCCCATTCCTCGTATAGCTCCAGCAATACGTATCCCGTCGATGCGTGGAACTAATTGCCATACTCTTGATCAAAGGTATATCCACTGCCGCAATATAATCGTGTAATCTCCTATCATCCCAACTATTCGTTGTTTGGTTGATCAAGTCACGCGCTCGCATATTTGGATGCATGACTGGAGCCACGGGAGTTACTGATCTCGCAGGTCTAGTGGGAATCCAAGGGTCATCCCAAACTCTTACTTCTTACCCTGAGTGTAATTTTTGTTTGATTCCTAGTAATAACAACTCTCGTCCAGCCGAAATGCTTGTCCACACATATGATGGGCTTCTAGCATTAATTTGACGCAGCGGCGTACTCAATCTATAATATCGTCCTCTCAAAACACGAGCTACCAGAGAATCCGGATTCTGCACCAGTCTCCACATTTTCTTTGCAAGGAGCGCAAGATTAAACTCATGAATCATCCTAAAACCAATTCCACCTTCTTCTTTGGGTAGGCATAGTTTATCCCATGTCGACCAATGAATACCCCTTTTTGGCGGATTAGAACTCCACCAAAACTGTGCAATGTACATATATATATTTATGATCGCTATAATAAACATCTATATATATATATATATATATATATCATATGTAGGTAGCTTGAACCATGTTACTACCATTGATGGGCTCAAACAAATTATTTGATTTATAAATTCCAAAAATATAAGCCTTCAGATCCAAGTATTAACATTCAAAATTTTAAAATTATACTAATTACAGATTTTTCATGCTTATGTACTTTTATTATTGATGACCTTATAAATCAAAATCTTTATTTTCAGAACTCAATAACCACATATTGAAGACATAGAACACGGTTTGAAGTATCCATGAATATGTTATATATACCTATTCACAAATCAAATAGTACTAAATGTAATATATAAAACATAAAAACAAATTTTCGGGATCTGAACCGACTGGAGAACTACATAGATGCGGAAGATATACCACTCATAAGGAGCATGGCGATTAGTGAAACACATCGACGGGACACGTATAGCTGGAGTTATACGAGAAATGGACATTACACAGTCAAATCTGGATATTGGATGGCACGAAATATACTGAATAAGGAGGAGGAAGATGTAGTTTGTGAACCTAGCATCACTAAACTCCAAGCACATGCTTGGAAAGTTAAGGCACCCCAGAAGATATGTCATCTTATGTGGCAACTAATAACAGGTCATATTGCTGTTACAAGTACTCTGAACTATCGACATATGAGATGTGATAACCACTGCCCACAATGTGGGGAGTGAGAAGAATCTGTTGCACATGCAATCTTTTAGTGTCTGTCCGCAATGCAAGTTTGGGCTTTATCTTCTACGCATTCCAGTCCTACGTTGTTTCCATTACAAATCATATATGCAAATATGGATTATCTTTTTTGGAAGAAAAATGTCATAATGGAGTCGGAAATGGACAGGGACCCTTATCCCTGGCAAATTGGTATATTTGGAAGGCTAGAAACGATAAACTATTCAGAGGTATTGATAGGGACCCACTGGAACTAGTCCGGTATGCAGAGAGTGAGTGCCAAGTCTGGTTCCAAGCAAATGACAAGATTATTGTGCCAGATCAAGGGAACACAGATATCGACAACCAGATCATAAGTCTGAGAGATATATGCATGGTTGATGGTTCTTGGACACATAGAGCCCAATTTAGTGGATGTGGATGGATCTAGACTGGCAGCATGGGAGACAGCTAGTTAATGGGTATGCGAAATTTTACTAGAGTAGAGTCTGCTTTGCACTCTGAGCTGGAAGCACTGCGATGGGCAATGGAGAATATGCTTCAGCATCCGCCATGTCAGAGTTTTGGGACGGATTGCAAAGAGTTAATAACAATGGTTAGAGATCCTCACGACTGGCCAAGTTTCTCAACAGAGTTAGAAAAAGATCACGACGCTACGGATTTGTTATCTAGATTTTAAGATTTTCTATATTCCTAGAACGCAGAATGGTGTTGTTGATTCTTTAGCAAAATCTGCTTGATCCTTTTATCGAGAGCTATTGTACAATGTTGGTTGTTCTATTCTGGTCTGACTTCCCAAACCAACTCAAGTTTGAGTAATAGATCTGCCATTCGTCGTAAAAAAAAAAACATAAAAACATGTATAATTGAAATAATTAACAAATAAAAAAATAAATTTTGTTTTTAATATTCGGTCGCAACCTAGTAAAATCTTAAACCAGAAAAAAAACTTCATGAACATCATTCATAAGTTATACCCAAAGAAAGCAATTATGAAGAAGATGAGTTCTTAACCCAATAGTTATAGCCTCTGAGTTAATGAGATAAAAATGACTTCGAGCCAGAGCTATCCACAACATGTTCATAATTTGACCTCATATAAACTTCATCAAGATCGGATTCACCCAACTCATAATCCGTTTATATAAGGATTTTATACAATTTTACATATTCTGTATGTATATATGACTTTCTTAGTGATCATAGAATGAAAATCCTTATTTGTTTCCTGATTTAGATTCTTGCGAGAAGTCAATTCATCCAAGGCTGAGTAGAAAATAAGAGATACAATCAGAAAAAAAAATCAACAGAAACAACTTCTCATCTTGTTGACCGAAGAAATGATATAACCATGTAGCTGAGTGATGCGAAAAGCTAACAAATCCCACTCTCCAAAACGAATCAAAATTGGAGGCAATATGAGACAAAAAAGAAGCTTAAAGCTTGTTTCAAAAGGTTAAAAGAGTTAACGACATCATCACACTTTAACTGCCTCTACTTCATAGACAAGCCACGAGTTCTTAGGCACATCTTCCTTGTTTAATCCTTCGTCTGGGTATCTGTGTTTACCACATCCAGAAGCAAGAGAAACAAAACAGGTTAGTTATAGTAAATATACTATATGCTGAAATGAATCATCTAAAGACATAATCAACTGACATACCCAAGAGATGGTGGAATTATGATTCTTCTCTTATCACCTACTCTCATCCCTGAGAATCAGACATGCAGCCATATTATTTACAAAGATATCAACATTTATGAATTTTTAATTGAAATTGTTAAAGCTACTATACAATACCTTCAACACCATTGCTGAGACCTTTTATGACCTTTTCTCCACCTGCAAACAACATTAGCATATTGTGTGTTTAGGATGGTTGAAACAATGACAATATATCTAAAAGCTATTTTGTTTACCTAAGCGAAATCGTAATGGAGAGTCTTCCAAATTAGATTCAAACACTTTCCCAGTGTCTTTTAACTTCCCAGTATAAAGTATGCTGACCTGAAACAGCCAAACCGGACTTGAGATATCATCCATATTGCATAGACTTTAGAAGTATATAGAAATATTACTCAACCTTTTTCCCTTGAACAGCTACTTTACCATCTGACTTTCCTTTTGCAATCTCTTCAACTGTCACCTCATTTGGGGAAAGCTCTGATTCTGGTAGTTTTTTATTACTAGCTTCTTTCTTCGTTTTCCTAATTCATTAGAAAAAGCTTGTCTCAGGATCACGATTTGCAGTGGCTATAAGCAACTCAACTGAAATGAAATTTCTACCTAAGATAATGACTCACTTTTCGATAGCTTGTTTCTTCCTCTCTGTAGTCTCCTCATCTCTTCTATCCTTTTTCCTCTTTTTCTTTGATGATTCGATTGCTCTGTTATGTGAGAGACAATGGTAATGTTAACTTAATCATGAAAGTAACATAATCAATTCAGTTGTGTTGTACACAACTTACTTGTCAGTCTCTGGCTTCTGAGTTTCAGGCACATCTTTTTCCTCTTCTTCGTCTGTATTAATAACAACTGATTCCTTGTTTCTTTTATCTTTCTTCTTCTTCTTTTCCTTCTTCGAAAGTACTTCAGAGCCTTTCTTAACGGGAGAAGGTTCAACGTCACCAGATGCTTTCTCCTCCCTGACATATATCAAAACAGATTACATAACAAAGCGATACCAATAAATAGCATTCAAAACCAGTCTGTAGTGAGTGAAGGCTTTCTTACTTTTTCTCCACAGTTTTGTGTGTATGAGTTGTTGCTTCTGATGTTTTCTCACCATTCTCCGAAGTCGAACTTTTTGCCTTTGACCTCGTGACCCTTGAAGGCAAAGGAACCTCCGAAGAAAGGACCTTGGGGGTCTTGTGGTCATTAAGTATTTCTACGGAATCTTCATCATCATCAGCTCTAGGCGATGTTTCATCAGAGGAATCTGAATCAGAAACTTGAAACTTCTTTCTTAGTCTTTTATTTCTCTTCTTTGCCTTTGTTTTACCTACCTTCTCCTTAACAGACACTGAAAAAAGGGACAACGATTATCAATATATGGAAGTACCACTGTGAAACTCCTAAACCAATTTCAGATACACACAAAGTATTATATGTAATTTTTCCATGAAAAGAAGCTAATATTGAGAATCAAGCTTAACTAAATTTGCAATAAACTTACAAAGACCAATGATACTAGAGGCTGCATAAAAAACACAATAACTAGTCTCAAGTGTACAAGTAACTCTGAAGACTATAAATAGTAAATATGTAAAAAACAAGTTAAGGGAAAGGCATACACTCATCATCATCGTCAGTGTGGGCAGAAGGATCATCATCATTAATGAAACTATCACTGTAGTCATAATCATCACTGCTACCTTTCTCCACGTCTGTGTCAACAATGTCTTCTCCAAATGACTCCCTTTGGTTTTGAATTCAAGTCAAGGGATACAATTACGAAAATATAACTCCCATATATAATCACTTAGAAAAGGATACGATTCGTCGTCGTTTAGGATTAAACCGGCGGAGGAGCTACTCCTTCCAAGGAAGTAGCCAGTGAGGTGAACACTCCGAGGACCAATTACAGAGAAGATAACATCCTCAGCTTCTTGAAACTCGATGTTGAGCTGGCAAGAATCAACTTTATCAGGAGACAGGACACATAAGAAGAGTGGACTTTTGTTCCCAACGTTACACTGTAGAATGATTCTGCTTGCTTTTGTTGCCGTATTGCTAATCCCCAATGTCGCCTATTCATTAACCCAAAACATATGAAATAAAAGGGGACCCAATTGCAAAAATCTGAGAGTTTAGGGGTAGAAAGTGAAAGACCTGGGAAAGGTGAAGTCTTTTTGAATCATTAGGAGTAGCCATTAGAGTGAAAGGCTTTGCTGGCTTCACTTCAACTCCTGCAAACACACACGAAATCATTGGGAATATTATCCTTTTTTATGCTCAATCGGAGATGTTTTGAGAAATAAAAAGGAAAAGAAACGATGAACCAAACCCCAGAAAGCCATTGAATTTTGATGAAAGGGCGACACTTCGTGTTCTTCTCCCTTCTGTGGCGAGGTTTTATATTGGCCAGGGTTTTATTTCTTGCCGCCCTAATTGTTTTTTTTTTATAACAACTCCATCCTAATTTTATTACTTTTTTTTTAATTTATTTATTACTAATCTATACTATATAAAAGTTGAGGCTATAAGCCATTGAGTACGTCCACGTAGGATTTAAGTCCTCCAATCGTATAATGACACATCATTATATTAGTTTATTAATTTTATAAAATGTCATTGTTTCCAAATTACATTAAAAACGAAATTAATATTCCATATATAACTTAGCTAACAAAATAAATATTAACATTTTAAAAATTAATTAAAAATGTTAACTGTTATAAAAAATGGAAAATCAAAATAAAAACGTAATATTAACAAAACAATATTGTCTTTTTAGATATACTTAGGGGTGGGCACGGATCGGATATCCGGGTTTTCGAAAGTATTTGTGATTTGCTTCGTATGTTACGGATATTTGATTTTGGTATTTGCTTTGCTTCGGAAAAATACGGATATCCGGAAAAACGGATATCCGGAAAATAAACAGATATTTACGGATATTTACAAATACTTACGAATATCTCATTCGTTACAAATAATCTTAAAATTTTGATATAAATTTATTTTTTAAAATATTTTTACATGATATATAAAATAAAAAATAAAGAAGTAGTGAATTTACATATTTTTAAAAAATTTTAAGTTTAAGTTAACAATTATAATAACACAAAACTTAAGATTTTTTTTATAATTTTCATAAATTTTCTCTTATTTTTATCTAATAATTTTATATAAGTAATAATGTGAATCTAATTAGTCAAATCATAAGCTATAATAATAATTTTATACATTTAAAATTTTAAATATAATCAAAATATACATGTATTTATATATTTCCGGATCGAATCGGATATCCGCTTCCCAAAATTTTAATATTTGTGATTTGCTTCGATTTTAGCGGATATTGATTTTTAGTATTTGCTTTGATTCGAAAGTTTACGGATATCCGGAATTTTCGGATCGAATCGAGACGAATAACGAATCGAATCAAATTTAACGAATAAAATGCCCAGCCCTCATATACTAAATGTAAAGTATCATTTTTAGAAAATGTCAATGTTTCCAAATTATATTAAAAACGAAATTAATATCCCAAATATAATTTAACTAAAAAAATAAATATTAAAATTTTACAACTTACTTAAAAATGCTAACTGTTATAAGAAAATGGAAAATCAAAAATAATTTTTTTTTGACAAAACATTATTGTCTTTTTA